TCAGTCTGATCTACGGATTCGCCATCAGTATCAGGAGTCAACAGGGGTCGTTCAACCATTGGTGTCAGTATAGGTTTTGCATCTCGAAACCCGAACTTCTCTAGCATATCTTCAACATACTTTGCTTGATGGAGCAGGATACCGGTTGACTTTTGTTGGACCTGTAGCCCCAAAAACATGGTCATTTCTCCCAGTGAACTCATCTCAAACCTCTTTTTCATTACGACTTCAAACTCCTTGTATAGCTGGGGACTTGTGGACCTGAAAATGATGTCACCAACGTAGATCTGAACCAGAATTTGATCGACACCAACATGCTTGATGAAAAGAGTTTGATCAATTGTGCCTCGTGAATAACCATGCTTGAGCAAGTGCTTTGTAAGAGTGGCATACCACGCTCGAGGAGCTTGATGTAGCCCATACAAAGCCTTGTCCAACTTGTATACGTGATTGGGAAATTTGAGTTTACAAACCCAGGAGGTTGATCAACGTATATTTCTTCCTTCACTGCGCCGTACAAGAAGGCAGACTTGACATCCATCCGGTAAACCGTGAAGTTCATGTAGGAGGCATACGCTAGGAAAATATGAATAGCCTTCAAGCGTGCCACCGGAGCATACACTTCGGTGTAGTCTAGACCCTCGATTTGGCGAAATCCACGGATAACTAATCGAGCTTTATTTCGTACAATGACACCTGAATCATCTTGTTTGTTGCGATAAACCCAACGCATGTCAAGAGACTTTTTGCCCTTAGGTAATTCAACCAACTTCCAAACCCCAAGTTTTTCAAACTGATTTAATTCTTCATGCATATCATCCATCCAGTTGGGCTCATTCAAAGCCATTTCAACATTCTTTGGCTCTATTTGAGAAATGAAGCAAGAGTAGAGACATGCATTAACATCTCCACTCTGACTCCGCGTTCGAACACCGTCGCCCGGCTGGCCAATGACGTTTTCGATTGGGTGATCGCGTTGAATTTTGGACGGTAGCTCCTGGCTAATATCATTGAGCTTTATTTCGTACAAATCCATCATCTACTGAATGAACCTCTTCAGACGATCCTGACCCGTCAGAAGGGTTTGCCACAAACTCATTAGCAATCGGTTCGGGAAAGAGAAGTTCCATAAAAGTGTGAGTAGCAGCGGAAGCATCTCTGGACATAAACTCTCTTTCATCGGGAGTAAGAGGAGTGACATCAGCATCTGGATTGTTTTGTTGACTAGGAGATTCTGGACAAATAATTGGAACAGATGCATCCACCGTAGGAATCGTAGAAGACACTACCGGTGGTCTGTAAACAACTTCTTCGTCTTCATCTTCAATCACATTCTTCGAACCAGAAGTAGAACCAGAGAAACTATTTGAAAACACATTGAAAGATTTAAATAAAGATGTGTAATCAAATAGCCAATAAGGACCTATTCTAGCATCCGTCTCGTTCTCTTCCAACCAGCGCACATCGAAGGACTCTACGATTTGCTTTGTCTTTTTATTGTAGACCCTATACGCGGTGCGAGCAGCATACCCTACAAAGTAACAGTCATCAGCTTTGGCACTTGTAAGTCCCCAATTCGCTTGAGTATCAATCAGATCCGTTTGATGGTGCGGAATCCCAATCAAACGGATGATGCCAGATCAAAATAGAAGAGAAGAAGAAGAATCAGATGAATCTTGAATGTATTGATGATATGAATGAAGTTCCTTACACAAGATTCACTTTTTCTCTCTGTCACACCTTAGAATACACACTTAAGCTCCTTTCTCTCTCTCTTGGCCGTACACTCATCTACCACTCCTCACCCCTAACACCTATATATATAGGAAACATGGGCCGTACACACCAACCTGGCCGTGAACACAGCCGCAAACACATATTACACTATAGAAAAATAAAGTTATCTAGAAAAGCAAAGTATAAACCATAATTTTAGACCCAACAATCTCTCTTGCTCAAAATCGAATTCCCTTACAAAACAAAGGTTTTCTCACATTTTTATTAACTTCTCAAGAACAGAGGCTATCATAAACCATAAAGGGTTTAAGCATTGGAAACTTATTTTATTACACACCTAGGCCAACAAACTATTTTTTATCCAAAATTTACCCACAAAAGCCCGATTCATCACATTTACATCCCAATAAAGAATAATGGTTTAATGACATCTCCAACCTAGAATTTAAATATAATTAAAATAGATCATACGGCGGAAAATTGTATTACACTAGCACCATATACCTTAGATTGCATTAATTGTTAAGTCTTCGTCTTTATTTTTCTGCTTCAAACACCTACATCCGATTTTCTCGTAAAATAAACCATTGATTAATACAGTGTTAATTAAAGTAGGGTAACATCTAACGCTAATTAATTAAAATAGGCAAGACTTTGAGCTTTTTATGGCTTAAAAGTAGAGCTAAATGGATTTGTTATGGGACCATGGGTTAACAACCCTTTATACTGTACTATGTAATTCCTGCTTCTTGCAGTTTGTTTATAATAAAGTCTAGTTGTTAAAAAAACATCTAATGCTCATTTATGGGTATTATACCTTTTTCTTAACAGCTAGATTTTTGTAAATTGAACTACAAGGAGCAGGAATTACATTGTACATTATAGAGGGTTGTTAACCCAAGAGTCCTATAAAAAATCCTTACCCCATTTAGCTCTACTTTTAAGCCATAAAAAACTCAAAATCTTGACCTCATAAGCTAGAGTAGACAATCTATTCATATTGCTATTAAAGAGCATACTGTTCCTTTTTGCCCATATGGTCCATAGTAGCGCCCTTGAAATTGATTCAAGAATATCGTGAGACCTGCTGACCACACTATAGGTAGATTTTATCCCCAGGAAGGCATCAAATGAGTTGTTCAAGATAGGAAGATCATTCCACCAAATGATTAGGAGCCCATGAATCTCCTTAGCTGTGGAACATTTCTTGAAAATGTGTATCTCGTTCTCCTCACAAGCATTGCCAAATGGGCACATGGTGGGCACATGGTGGATGAAATGGTTACCCCCCTCCATGGAAAGTTGAATCAGAGTGTTATACTAATATCTTTAAAATTGAATTTGTAGGCATTGGCAAAGAGATTTGGAGTGGTACCGGGGGACATTGAGGAGAAGAGTTGGGAAGCAATCAAACAACAAATCTCTCTAGTCCCATGGAGTCAACAATGGTGCTCTCATCAGTGATGGGTGATGGCCGTCGGAGAAGACAACGGGAGAAGAAGGGTCATGTCCTGAGGAGAGGGAGAGGGTGAGGGAGATGGAGGGGGCGGAGGGGAAGGAAGAGTGGGACCATTTATATATTTATATTAATTATTAAAATATATTAGTAATAAAAGAAATACAAAAAAAGATGAGGGTTAATCGATCATTTTAAATCGACTAAGAACAAGAGTTGCAAATACCAAACCACAGAGATGGAGAATGGGAGAACGAGATGGTTAACCTTTTAGGATATGGGCGATTAATAATTTTTTGCAGACCACAAAGGACAACTTATATAATTCACTCAAAAATTATTTCAAGTATGTTGTCATGTCATTATCATTTCGTGATTTTATTATCATATCATTGTTAAGTCAATGGTCAAACAAGTTTTATTTTACTTCTTTTCATATAAGTTGAACAAACATAAAACTTGAATGGTAAAACTACCTCAATTTTTTTTGAGGTGTCTAGGTGAACAAACCAAAACTTGGTTATTAAGCACTATAAAATAGTTATAATCAAAATAAGATTTAATGTAGAAATGATTATTGCAACTTCATCTAAGATTTAGGTTCAGAGAATATTAAATAACACTAGACTTGTTTAGAACAAATCTATATAAACCGCTGAAGCTAACTTTAATGTCATCAATTAATATATTTTTTTCAACAAGTATGACTGTAATCTCAGACAATGTTCATCAAGATTGGATCTCTTAAAAATAACTAGTATAAACTGTAATTGCAATTAACTTAAAATTTTTTTGAATCTGAAGAATACATACAGATAAAAACATATGCAGAATTGAAATCTTGGATTGAAGTGTTCTATATTGAAAACTTCCTTTGAGTTGTTAACAAGGTGTCGACTGATTTTACGTATCAAGTTGGCTGAGTCTTGTACTTGTCCTTCTTACCAGCAAGAATCATTGAAATCTGAAGACCTCTTCTCAATGCTTGATTGAAAAGCAGCTTTGTTTGGAACTCTGATACAAAAGGGAACCATGACAGTATGACAATTGGCATAAATATCACCAATCCCATCAAGCATTCGTATGCACGCCCTAACTCCATTATCGAGTCCCAAAATCCTATGCATTTTACACAAGGCCTGCACGCTTGACCAATCTTCACAGTTCCACAAAACAAACACTATCAATAAAAATATTTTAAATAATGACAGTACACTTGGGGGAAATGGAAGGAATGAGATAAATAGTAAAAAGTTAGGACTTATTGGGGAAGGTCCCAGTTCCATGACATTCTCTAGTAGTTCGTTCTTTCTGCATTAAGAAAAAAAGAAACAACACCCAAGTGTACAATGATCCAAAGGGTTACTTACCAAGATGAATGCCCAACCAGTTGGCACAAAGGCAAGGAAGGCAACAAATATGTCACTGATGGTCAGGCCACATACAATAAATAAGACTGTCATGAGCGAAAGGAAGACAAGGAAGAGAAAGGCCTTTAAGATCCTGAACATGAGCTGTAAATCTGTGCCAAACCGTTTAGCCATTGACACCAACTGACAAAAAGAGTATACAACATACAATTAGGCTTTCAAGGGTTGCATTGTCTTTCTAGCCCTACCATACAATCATAGATGATCAATTTAGTTTTTTTACCTTAAATTCCAGAAGAGCAGATATCAAGACCAACCATGAAAACGCATAAACCTGACAAAATAAAATGATTAATGAGAACAAATTGCACCCTATACGAAACAAATAAACAGGGAAGAAGGAAACAAACCAGTATACTTGTGCTGCCACCTGCAATATTAAGACGATACACAAGTCCATACTGATAAATGAAGAACCGACACGCAAGTATAATTTCAAGAATTCTTCCCCTTATGTTTGTGTACTTAAGATGCTGCTGTTCTGCATCCCACCATGATTCCCAACTTTTATCCTGTCCAATTCCAATCCCACCACGATTCCCTATCCACCTTTTCCATTCCGTCCAATCCTCCACTGTTTTCTGCCAGTCAATCCCCAAGGGATTGAACACAAAAGGAGCTAACAGCCATGAAGCAACCAGGAACCATATCGAGAACGTAATGAATAAGTATAGATTTGAACTTCGGTATGAGTTCCCATATGCCTGATAGATAATAAGCAGAATAGCCAATTCCAGCCCTTTCACAAAGTGACTACGCGAATACAACCTGTAATTATCTGCAAATTTTGCATGGAAGACGACCAAACCACGGCCCGTGGCGCGATATTTTGAACCTCCATGTAGAATTGTTCTTCCATAGTAATGTGCTTTTGTTCCAAGCTGGAAAGTGAAAAACACAGAGGCTAATTGGAGTTGCATTATGATAAAGTCGCGTAATGCGGTGCGAAATCCTCTTTCTAGACTTATTTCCATAACTATAGGAAGCATGAGAAGTAAACCGAGCTGAAAAACAGATTGGATGACTAAAGCTTCTTCTAGGGCTTTGTTGCCACCAAGACTTTCATCTTCTAATATTTGCCCTTCCAACCCACTCAAAACCATATATATATGTCCGTATAAAAATGCATAAACAATAAGCACAGTAACCTGGATCAAAAGAAGTTATTTAATGTATGTAATAATGTAAAAGTTATAAGTAAATAGAAGTAATTGTTATTTTGTTATACCATGCTGCTAAAGTAGAAACCAACTGTGGTGTAGTAGAATGATAACATTCGGAAAAAATCAAAACGGCGACCAAGTCGGTAAACATCACGGCTAAGTGTCTGTTCGCCATTTCCATTTGCAACTTTAGCTTCGAAAAGGGATATCTGATTCATACCAACATCACGACCTTTTCCTACTTGGATATATTCATGATGTGTGGCATAACCTCCACGCAGAGTGGAATTATAACCTGGAAAAATGTAACTAGATTACATTCGTAGGAGAACATAACTTTAAAGACATTAGAACAAGTTTTAGACTATTTTAAGTCTTTGGGTCTGTTCAGAAAAATTAGTTGGTAGCGGGTAGCAGGTAGCTTGTAGCGTTTTGTTAAACGCTACATGAAGTAGCATTTGGATTTGGAGTGTTTAGTTTAAACTAAACGCTAGAAGCTTGTAGTGCCAAACAAGGCTTTCTCTTCAAAACGGAGCGTCTTGTCAAACGCTAGAAGCTAGAAGCTCTCAAATGCTCCGTGCCGAACACGCCCTTTGTTGTGTAGAAGCAGTGCTACAACATAATATCTTTGGGATGATGAGAAAGTTTAATTACCTGAAAATATATCGTCGCTCAAGTTGATGGTTCTTGAAGCTTTACTTATGCCACCCCTTGTGATGTGAAAGAGCCTGTCAAATATATCTGGGTGACCGTAATGGAATCGCACCCTGTGAAGCATAAAGATTCTAACTATTAATGAATTCATAGAGGATAGTTGATATTTCATATATTCATTTTTTATTATCATACCTCAGAGGGTCTGCTAAAATCCTTTGGCCAATTGTCACAAAACTTGTCTGCTGGTTGGAATTGAACCAAGCTAGTGATGATACACTGTAAAATAATTAAATGAGTGAAAGATTTAATGTAACCTTCCATCCGCTAAAAGTTTTGGCCAACACAAGTTCGAAAGGCTTTGTTGGGGCTTATAAGATCAATATGTATGTTGCAGTTTAGTGCTCAAAACAATAGAGAATGATTGATTATAATGGCCGGAAATGTGCAAATTAAAATATATGGTAGCATGGGACAAAAATTGAGGTGTTATCAAAAGCCTTTTTACTAGATAACAGAAAGCCAAAGTACAACCAAGAAAAGGCATTACAAGGCAGCAAGTGCCTTGTTTCAGTTGTGGGTTACAATGGCCTAATACAACTATATATAAGCCAAAATGTATTAATAAAATACTATATATATATATATATATATATATATATATATATATATATATATATATATATATAGGGGATAGGGAATATACATTACAGCCCTACCTAAGCTTAGGTACTAAAACCTCTAAAATATGTCGTTTTAACTTGGTAAATATACTCGGTTTGGTTTCACTTGGTAAATATATCATCCTCGATCACATTTCTTTCTTTCATTATCGTTTTACCATCTCTGTTTTCTTTCGTAAACCCTAAACCTAAACCCTAAACCCTAAAATTAAACCCTAAACCCTAAACCCTAAAACTAAACCCTAAACCCTAAACCCTAAGCCCTATTGTGTCGATCTTGAATTTACATCTTCAAGTATTAATCGCGAATCCATTAAACCGTAATCTTTATATAGTAAAACAATGTATTTTCAAGATGTTTAGTACCTAAGCTTAGGTGTGGCTGTAATGTATATTCCTTTTTCCCATATATATATATATATATATATATATATAT